AGTTACAAATATCTCGGTATCAAAGCTGATCGAGTCATCTATTCTGTTTTGTTTTTATAATCTTGTGGATTGAGCATAACTGGACAAGCAGACAAGCAATAAAAACTGTTCAAGTTAGAAAATGAAAGAGTTCAGATAGGACAGATATAATCGAATATCGAAGATGTTTGAAGCAAACATAATCTTAAAAAACAAGAACTGTTATGTGTAATTAGAAAATTTCCATCGTTAACAAAAATGTGCTAAAGTTTACGTACATAGAGTTTCATCTGATTCATTGTGGATCTAGAATTCCGAATGTATTTGTCTAAGCTATCAAGATCTAAAAGTAATATGATAGCTAAATAGTATTACGAGATGTTTAGGTTTTGGAGTTTATTGTCAGATTTTAATTCGTCTCGCATAAAGACACTGTAGCAGCACAGATTTAGATTTATCCGCACTGTTAATTCCTCTCTCTCCAATAGTAGTTCAAGCTGCTTACGCTAACCTAGCAAAGCTATTTGCAGCATTGTACAGTGATTTATAATGAAATTATAGAAAAAGCAAGGGTGTCATTGTCTTTGTTTCAATTTAGATTGAAATAAATGAGAATATTTATATAAAATCTTCTGAAAATAGTGTCATTTAATAAAAATCAATAAACTTGTTTTACGACTGCTTTTTAGTTACAAAGAAATGTTCAAGCTTCGAAAACTTGAACTGGTCCACACTTTATGAGACTGCCTTCCTGCAATTTTTCTTTCAACACAGTTGAGAATGCATAAATCGAAGAATCAGTCTCAATTTTCAAGGCCTTGGCTTTTCTGTAACTAAAAAGCGCTTTATAAAATAAATATATTCAGTACAAACAGGTTTAATTTAAGAATCAAAATAATAAAACTCTTTTCTCTCATGTATTTACTATCTCATGATGAATTTTTAGTATGAAGATTGAATATTATACATCATTTGATTCAATAATAGATGGAAAATACGTTATGAAAACAAAATAACGTTATGAAACAATAGCGTTTAATGAACAGAAAATAAATTACCAACTAATACGTTTCGAATAAAAATATTAAAAAATAATGACAACTAACTTTTTGATTTTTAGAAGAATTTAGAAAATGAGTAGGAAGAGATAACAATATGTCATAAGGATACACTTCGGATTATCTCTAGATCAAAACTGTAGGTCTTGGTTCCAGTTCAACTTCATTATTTTAAGTTAACTTTTTTTGTATGCTATTGGACAGATTTTTCATTTTTAATAGAGTAACCATTAACTAATAAGTTTAAAGTCCGTTATTTTCTAAATGCTTGTCTATACTTCTCATAAGGAATAATGGTGCATGATTAATAAATTATCAAAATAATTTATTAATGCAGAAAATTAATAATAGATAAATTAGTAAGTTAATATAAACAGTGAAAAAAAGAAAATATATCCACTTTGTAACATACACCTTCATAGACAGTGGAGCCACTAGGTTTGTTAGGCTTGAGTCTTGCCTTGCATATGAAAAAATTAGTTTCGTTTTTTCACCATTTTACACGGAAGTTGCTGTTCACACCAGATAGCCAAGCAATAATATAATACTTTATGGAAAAACGCATTAGCGAAATTGTTTTTTTTCGAAAATTCTATCCCCTCTCCCCTCCCCCTCTCCTTTGAAGGTTTTGAAAGGCATAAGCCTGAACCTTGCCTCGCCCCAAAACGTTCCGCCGCCTCTGGTCACCTTATTCCAAAACAGCATAGTATATCTCCATAGACTCTAATAAAAATTTCTTTTACCTATTATTGTGAGTACTTTTCTATCACAAGTGCTTCTAAAAATAGAAATACAGATGTATTTCGAGCATTTATGAAACTGACTTAGAAAAAAAACAACAGTCCCATCATTTAGCACAAGTCAAATATTTCCCTATAAACATTTAAATCGTGAATATTGAAAAAAAATAGAACAAGAATAAATGACAATTTCGATTTTATTTTAATTTAATTATACCATTGTTTAATAGATTATTGAAATCAAAAATAAGTGAGAATAAATTTGTTATTAAGATTGATTATGTTTTTCTAGAATATCTTGAATTGTATTTTAAAATGAATTTTTTCTAACATTCAACTCAAGTATATATATATATCATCTAACGTTCTGGTTAAATTTGGCAGATGAAGAATAATGACTATTTAATAAAAACATATTTTCTACTCAATTTAGTGTATTGTCGAACACTGTAAATATTGCACAAATTTATGCGTTTGAAAAAAAAAAAACTTGAGATAAAAATGAAAATATATATTTGTTATTGTCGTGTTTTGAATAGAAAATTAGACATTTCGTTCACATACATAACGCTGCAAAAAAAAAAAAATCTCTCATAAGTCAATTAGTCTATCTCTGTTATTCTCTTTTATATTTTTTACGTATCTTTATTGTTAATAATGATATTATGTGTAATTTCTTTTTCCTAAAGAAAATCTTTAGCGATTATTGACATCAAAAAGGACACAAAGACATTTAACGAGATAAACTATCCATGGAGAAATTTTTAGCACTTCCATTTCATTCTAACGATTGACTACGATGTTAACATCTTCTCTATCACGAATGTTTAAGTGTAATGCAATGTGGAAAAGTCACCTGTTGAAGTGGATCAGGTGTATAAATTTGTGAAAAAGATAATCTCAACAAAAAAGATTGGAAGTATTAAAAATTTCCAAACGGATATGTATTTAATTTGTTCAGAGGACTATAGATTTTAGAAATAGTCATATATTTAACTATAGGAGAAGAATTGAATCCTACATTCATTTAGAATTTGTAGGCCTATATTTGCTAATTTTTATACTTTATTCCTGATGATTCTTCTACCATTTTTCAATTATAATTGACTATACTCTATGTGAAAAAGAAGTTAAATAAAATGAAATTTTTTGAAAATACATATAACAGCTGTACTAAAATTTTTCTCTTTATACAATGACATTTGGTCATTTATAATTAATCATAGAATGAAAACTATCGTTTCTATCGTTTGTTTTATATTTTTCTATAAGATCGACACAAACATTTGGAATAAAAACATAGTGTTGTTATTATTGTTATTACTGGCATCTATTCTATAGGATAACTAATATATCAGATATTAATCTTTATAATGGAAGAAGAGAACAGTTTGTATCATCTTCTGTTTCTATACTTATAAAAACAAAAAAAAAACAAAAAACTCTAATGTGTATGTGTATGTTTTTTTGCGTTTTATCTGGATTCAAAAATATTTTTTTATTGGCTTTTAATAGACATACATATCTTATACTAAATAATTTGGACCACATATATCACAAAGATCATTTAATTGTACTAAAAAGCAGAGTGTCGTAAGAATAAGAAAGAGGGACATACATATATATATATATATATACATACAATGTGCATGTCTGTGTGTGTGTGATGTCTATACTAGATGAGACTTTGACGTAAATCCTGTTAGAAAAAAAAGATATGGCTTATAATTCATTTAACAGTTTCATAAAAGTATACAAGCAATGAAAAGGCCAGTTTTAGACACAAAATAGAAACGAAGGAGAAATTAATGACAAAGAGAAATTTTACAATTTTTCTTTTTGGATATGATTACTATAGTAGAACTAGTAGTCAATAATATCACAACTTCCTCTTAAGATCGAAGTTCATTTAATATTAGATTTGATCATTTTCAGTTTATTTTGTTTGTATAATCATAATAATGTGACATTTGCAAGTAAGACAGATTTATTTGACAAGTTTCTGTCTGTCTTAATGTGTCAAATTTGTAACATATTTGATACTTCTTCTCTCTTGTTCTTTTTTGTTTATCTCAAATTTAATCTTGATGTGTGACTTGTCCCATTCCTAGTATGAACTATTTCTCTACTCATCTAATTAGAGATATCTATAGAACATCATAGTCTAATTAATTGTTTTTCACTATTATTGAGTAGTATCATATGTCGTGTTTTCCTATCAAATTCTGACCGTTTGTTCTATTATCTTTAATCCTATACTGTCTTGTTCGTGTATGGTCAACGCCGCCAACAAGATTATATATCACGACAAGATATATTTACATATACAGCTCAATATTATTATATCTGCTTACACTCACTATGGTAATTTTTCTCTCATTTACGAAATTTACTTGTGATAGAAACGAGAATCTGTTTATACAAATAAAAAGAGAAGAATAGAAGACAACAGTACAACAAAAAATATGAATGAAAAAAATAGGAAGAAACGTGTATATACACATGTACATAAAGACTATCTCTACGTAAATGTACAATATGTAAAGATAACTTTAATAAAGGAGTTCTCTTTATTCTTCTTTTTTTTATTTTCGAAAAGCATAGATCCGGTGATTATATTAAAGACGACACATCAAATCTCTGTCTCTCTATATTTAAGAAAAAACAGAAAGAAAAAAGAAAAAGAAAAAGAAAGAAGACGACAGTGGTACTACTGTTCCCGTCATTTATTTACTACTCGTATATCTATCTATTCTTCGCAACTAACAATTATCTCACACATAGACACAAAGAAATCTTCTTTACCTTGTTCAAATTGTGTGACAGTGACCAATTTTAATACATACAATATTCTTTGGTCAGTTTTTCAATCAAATACTTTTCCACAAAATGAAGATGATAATATTTAATCATGACTGACTGTGGCAGTATTTAGTGTGTGGAGAAAAAAATAAAAGTAGAACAACAACGAGAACCTTGTCATCGTTAGTCAAGGATAGAAAAAAAAATATGTCGGTGGACACGTATATACACCGGTGAATATCAGCATCATCATCGTCGATATTAAATGTAAAGAAGACGCATAGTCTGAAAGTAAGAATAACCACATACATTTACAAATGAAAAAAAAATGGTAATTAGAGAAGATAAAGAAGGTTAAATGAAAAATCTTGATTAACCTTGATTAAGAAATAACAGTGATTTTGGTAAAAGGAATAAAATCATGTCATCATTAAAAGAAGAACAAGAAGAAGAGTTCAGTTTATCATCAATACCGTTACCCAAATTTCGATTAGATAATGAAAACGAAATTCCTAATAAATCAAAAGATTTATTGCTAAATTCGAACCATAGAATGGATGATGAAGACGAACAAATCTTTTTAACTGGTACAACAGCCATGCCCTACAATTATCGTCCAAATCGTGTTCGTCGTTCAGCTTGTTCTGATTTACAAAGTACGACAATTCCTGAGAATCGAGTTTATAATGATCAATATGACAACAATCGTCGACGATTGAGCCTCTTTACATCACCCTCTGTTCATTCATCGCCACCTATTCACACATCTTCGTCGTCATTGACAATTGATGACAATGATAATAACAATGATTATGTTAATTCATGCCGGAAACGTTGTCAATCATTCTATGGTAGAACAAAATCACCAAATGAAAATCTCGTACGTCAATCATCTTTACCTTATACGATTACAACATCGACAACTAGAGATTTAGAACCACAAATTACTCATAATAACACCGGTGAAATAATTGACTCTTATTCACATTTAATGCCACAAAATTTTTCCCGAAGACATTCACATTGTATAACAGCAATCACCTATAACAATGAAAATGTCACTGACGATCCTTACATTAGTAGTACAAGTTTAGTTGTCAAGCCTATCATTGATAACGACGATTATTCTCGTTCATCATCATGTTTTGATGTGAACAAAGAACAAACAAGGCGAACTTTTTTATTTCAACCAAAATCAAAGAAAAAATCGTGTTCTGACACAAATATTTTACATCAAACACGTCATTCATTACCATGCGAAAATTCAAATACATCATTAGCAATTAAAAATTTTCTGAAACGTCATCATTTATCATCATCTAAAACACCGACAACTTCTTCTAGTTCACTAGTTTCATCAACAAATTCTCTTTCATCCTCATCTTCACCAATAAATTCAACATTCCAAAACTTTAAACATCTTTTAACTTTAGTTAAACTACCAAAACCACAGCGATCATCTGTTTCTTCTTCAACATCGTCAACAGCCTCAGCGACACCCACTTATTCTAGTTCACAAACATTAACAAGTGGTGGTGGACAAACGACAACATCATTATCTCACATCACGACACAAGACGTTGAAAATGAGTCAACAATATCGAAAAATGCACAAAAAAAGAGTACGACAAAATTAAAAATGTGCGATTGTGAATGGCATTATCAAGTAAGAGAATACTTTCCAAAACTTAATGTAGATTGAGACATGTACGCCTAAGATTAGTATGTGAGACAGTGAGCATTTTTGTAACTTATTACTCTATGTGTTTAATTACAACAAATGAATCCTATGAAAACAGTTTGCATTTCATTTGTTAGTAAGAACTCGTGACCAAAACAAAAGAAAAAAAACCTCTGTCATACTTCACCATTTGAAGTTGACACTCGCACGAATTCTGTCTTTCATTATCGTGCTGAGATATCAAAAGCTCATTTTTCTAAAGAACCCTTTTTTCAGCAGAGCTATATAAATTTTCAATTGTTTTTCTCGAAAATGAGACAGACAAAATGAGACTGTCAAATAAAACTAAAATCTCACCTGATGTCTGAGATTATCTTTTCTTTATACACTTTTGTAGTAGTTGAGAGAATGTGTAAGTGAACTTACATCTTAATTACGACTCAGAAGCTTTTCGGTGCATTAACATATAATTAGGTTTCATAAATGAAAATGTCTCACAATCTTACTGAATACGTTAAAAATGTATCGACAACACAACTAATTGTTGAAACATTTTTCCTTGGAAGATGCAAAAAATCATGAGCACCGTCACCAATGTGAAAAAATACTTAAAATTAGTTGATAAATGTTTGTTTGTTTGTTAAAAGAAAAAAAATAACTCTGTGTCTTATAACTTTCATTAGCCAGAATAATTAGGAACAACTGCAAACATATCTCACTTTTTTGAAGATCAGATATTTCTAATCCAACAGGACTATTTAATAATATAATAGAATAAATAACAGCTTGACGTTATGCCTCAGATAAGATCGCGAAAAGTTGCTTGTTGTTATTATATTTTTCGTGCATTGATAATGACAACACAATATAAATAGCTTATTATATACCACTATCATTTGATCAAATGGGAAAAAAATGTCCCTGAGCCGGTCTAAGAAAAATGGACAAATCTATATAAATCCTTGCATAGAGCTAGAAATGAATATGGTGACATTAGAAATAGCAAATGTTTTTTTTTCGATATTTGACATGAGTCAGAGACTCCCACTTTTGTTGACAAGTTACGTGCATTTATTACCAGCAAACCTAAAATATCTTTATTTTTTTTTTTCATCTATTGTCTTGTTATGTCAAAACATATGTTTTTGATAAATCTTTCTATTTTATAAAGATATTACGTAAACTAGAATTAGCCAATAGAAAAATATCTATGCGTTATCTATGTATGGGTAGTCTGAACATCTGTATGTAATTTACACCTATATGATCGGTCAAGCAATGAATGTTAAGTAATTTGTCCTGTACAAAATGATAGTAATGATGATGATGATGATTAGTTTTACATAAGAATCGACATACACATATTAAGAAAATAATCTTTTTTGTTTTGTTTCTAGCATGATAAAGGAAATTGGTGTTCAATAAATGGTAGTGTAATAACATTAGGACCAATTGAATTACATAATTTAACATATATTGAACATAAATTATTAAAACGAATTATACAACAACGTTTACAAAATTTAGACATGGGGCTAACCATACATATACCCAAAGGTAAAACAAGAATGAGAGAGAAAATGTGATAATCTCATGTGTTTAACACCCTATATATGACAAATTTTATCGTTTTTATATGAGTTAATAATTATAAAATGAAATAAGTAGGAAAGACATACCGTTCGACTACAAAAAGAACGTATATGACAATCATTACTAACAAAAAATATCTAGAAAAATCTTGATCTATTTTGAAATTATAGTTAATAATTCTTTTTTTTTATTCTCTTGCAAGAATTTCTAGATACTTGTTGTTTCTCTTCAAATAAAAACTTCTGTGCTAGTTGATCAAGCATACTACACGAATAATTATTAACTTAATAGAATTAGAGAAACAACATTTACGTTTTTATCAAGACGCCCGATAGAGAACCTTGATTTCAAGAAAATACAAGACTCAATAAAAAAAAAACCTAATTTTCTTTTATTGTCTCCTGCGGCTACGGAATTAATCATTTCTTTCTTTTCTTCGAATACTTTCCTTCTAGTAGTACTAAATACAGTTGTACACTGATTATGACAAGGGGGTATGGAAACTTCTCAATAATTGAAAATAATAATTGTTTTTTTTCAATACTTAAAACTTTTGAAATGTTTTTTTTAGTTTTTTTGCTAGCAAAAAGTATAAAAGTAACTTTCATACTACTAGTCTTTTCCCTCATTCTTGGAAATCGATCATAAAATACTAAATGGATTACACAAAATTTAGGCTTAGAATTAGGTATGCATATTTCCAGAAGTAATACATGGATATTAAAATTTTTATTCGTAAATAAAATAGTTTTTATTCTAATGGAGACTAAATCAATAATAAATATTTAAATTAGAACTGTACAATTTTTTAAAATTTAGATAATAGTCGATTTTTGACATCTAAGACGACAATTTTGACTGGCGTGTAATTAAAACGTCGCAATATGACTGAATCCAACAGTATTATTCTAATGATGCATTTAGAGTTCAACTTCTATATGCATTGATCGACTATCATGTCAGTCTATAATCTGCCTCAAACAAGGTTATACCATGCATCGTGATCATTAGTTATAGTAGATAAAGTTCTTTCACGTAATTCTTTTGTGACACAAACAGATTATTAATCGTCTTTTTCTCTTATATAAATATCAATAACTATGTAAAACGATATCTATAGAAACACCCATTTTATCATGAGAATTTCTTGCAACAACAGGAGTTTTGCTTAGTGAATAATAAATTAGAGAAAACAAATGAATGATGATACATCATCTCGAATATTTATCTAGATAGACGTAAAATCAGATTGTATGTTTATGTAAATATTCCATTAGTTCAAAAGTTATATTTTTGAACAAACTAATCACCCTCACACTGTAAGCCTTTGAAACATAATTATTTATAACAGCCCAGGTGAATTAAGTAAAAAGATTAAGCTTTCTTAATACCAAAGAGACAAGAATCTTATCAGTGATTACCTATGACGCAGTCCTCTCAATCAAACAAGAATTCATGTTGTGAAACATCACAAACATTTAACTATGATCCAAGGGAAAGGATTTCAACTTTCTTCCATGCAGTTTAAGTAATATTCTTAGTTTAAAAGATAGATAAAGAGAAAAAGGGTTCCGAATTTGCAATCATCTTTCCAAAAGATTTTTAAGTTAATGACAACTTAAGAATCATTAAAGATAAGTCACGACCTAATGTGCTCGATCGACTATCTCAGGTTTCTTCCATAGGACTTTAGAGCAAACAGTTTCATGAGCTTTGGCGAAAACTACAGGTCCTAAGGTTGTTGCGTTGCTGAGATATTCGATTTTTGCAAAGAGCCCAAAAACGCACAAATTCCGACATTTAAGGAAACTGACAATTTAAACTATGTACAACTCCATAACGACACATTACTTAGACTTAAGAATTCTATCATAATTACTAGATAGCATCCACTATAAATTCACACAACCGCGAGTTTCAGACATGCTTTCGTTCTTTTATAGTAGATGATCCCGTGAGAGCCCAAATCATCGATCCGGTCATTTTGGAGAAAGATTTTCTCTCGAAAAACCAGGAGACTTTCTCGCCCACTACGAGATTGTTGGAGTACACCAAGTGTACTACCATGAGCCATGGTAGGATTTTTCGGATCTTTTAAAATCCCCTGGAAAATCAAGTGAGGTTTCTAGAAAACGAGATCATAAAATTTTT